GAGCAAAAGATACACGGAGCGCACACTGGCCCTGCACGCACTGCTTAAATGAATCTGTTAACGGTATAACTGTGCTGTTCTCACAAGTGCTGTCAGATATTGCACTAATGCTTTTGACACATATTCTAGCTTATTATGTGCATACATGATAATAGCAATAGCGGTTTATTTTTATGAGTAGCGATATTAGTTTACTCAATGCAAGCCCGTTCGCGATGGTGTACGTGGTGTTCAATTTGACATATAACTGTCCCTTGCATGGCGGACAGCATCTGGCAATTATATGAAGGATTAAACAGAAGCTCTCGTGCTAGATGTGGCAAACAGTTACCTGAAAACTCCATCCCACAGACTTTTTATAGCCAATGGAAGTCTTCTACTCTTGGAAAAGTGTAGATAGTGGATTAACATTTAGCACATGATCACTACTAAGATGTTTCAGTATTTATAACTTTAGATGTCATGGTTTCTAAAACAAAATCTGTCTGTGTTATCTTCATTCTCCTCTTCAGCGCTTTACAATTTTTCGCGGTAGTAGCTCTCTCTCTGTCACCCAAGCCAGAAGCGCTGACTGAGTGATTGACAGCTGATATTAACCAATCATTCGCGTTCAGTGCTAGAGCAGTGGGCCAATAAGAAGAGCGTGAAGGCGGGGCACGCATTACGGACTTGGATTTGTTTACTGCAGCAAGTTAACATGACAACAGTTTTAAACCATTCCCGAGCGCTGCGTTTCGCGTTGCAAGTGCAGAGATGCATTCTGCGTGAATGTCTCCCGAATCCGCGCATGTGGTGAACATTTTACAGTAAAAACTGGTCGCACATAACAATTTTAAGCACTCGCAGAAATGCTCCCAAATATATTTTAAGGTCGCATAGATAAAATTTCGGGCGCATATGCGACCAAAATGGTCGCAATTTCGAGCCCTGCTGAATATATAAAGGTATAATACAAACAAAAATGTCAATTTTGTCTTCATGTATCCTTTTGCCTAACGACATTTCATGACCAAAAAATTGCATGTGCGGTTTGTTTACTACAGAGAGAGAGAACTTTTTTTTATTTTAACTTTGTTTGAGAAATAATAATAATATTCAATCTTTTTTTATAGAATATATCATATCGCTGTTTCAATATGGAGATACTTTTAAAATCATGACTTGAGGGGTTCATTACACCTCTATATTTTTAAATCTTAAAATATGATTTACTGAGTGCACAGACAAAGCACACACAGAAACATCAACTCTCAGATGGCACATTACGCAAGTATTAAACTAGCTTCTCATTCACATCAACTGGCAAATACACACAAGGTCAAAACACACAGGTTCAGATAGAGAAGAGATCAAATTTATCAGTACATCCCATCTATCTGTAGACGTGAAGACAACACACTATTAATGCAAATCCATCTAGGGCTGCACAATATATCTATATATCTTCGATACTGCAATGTGCACAAGTCACATCACAAGAAATGCAATGTTCAGTCTGAATTAAAGTTGACCAGGAGCTACAGAATTGCATTCAATTACTGTATTTATAGGGAATTTATACAAAAATAATTCTTAGACTTTTGTCTCATTTCTAGTCCAAATATCTACATTTCAAAGCAAAAATGAATTAATTATTGCACTTACTCCACTGGCAGATAATTTAGCCTGTTTTAAGTTAATATCTCTAATATTCAAAACAATATCTGTACTGTTTAGATATTTGGACTGGTAAAGACAAGCATTTTTTGCATTGTCATTATTTAATGTACCTGAATACTGTTAAGACTGATCCAGAAAACGGTCAAACACTGCTATTCAAATTATCTTGTGAAACTGTATTCATAATATTGCAATATTTAAAATCGCAGAAAAATAAAATATCGTAAAGTCAAATTTTCCAATATCGTGCAGTCCTAAATTCAACCCCAAATATTAAAATTCAAGATATAGTGTTGTGCAAATTCCTTGACCAAACCTCAAGCCTACAAATGAAGCATTTCATAAGAGGCTTCCTAAAAGTGCTTGCTGATAAAGAAAGTATCTTGACTCAAATAGCAACATTGCAGATTAAACAGAAGTTGAAAGCATAACAGAAACCTCTTAAAGGAAGACAGAAGCAAAAGAATTTCATGAAGAAGTTCCCAGTGGATGACAGATTACTCATATGACCATTGCTCAAAAAACAAGACAATGGCCTCAATCTACCCATGAGAACTGCTTTGAGGTCATAAAGTCAAATTCTATGGTGTCACATGAACAACAGTCCTGTCCTCTTACCTATTGTTGGAATTGTGGTCACGATTTCGCCAAGTTTCAGTTTGTACAATATTGTGGTTTTCCCTGCAGCATCCAGACCCACTGTAAAACAACAATGTATATGATGGGAACGAGGTTTCTTCCAACTTTATAAAACAGAAAATGACAGTCACAAATCTTTAATTTCATTAATGGAACTAAATGTTACAATTCTAATAAATATACTGGAATATAATGAGGAATATGTAGTAACGCCATTTTAACATATTGCTTTATGCTTTAATAAGCTCCAGTTTAACATTGACTATGAGACTAAAACACTGAAAAGCGTAACTTTGATTAGAAGCCCATACTGTAGAGCAGGGGGTGTCAAACTCAGTTCCTGGAGGGCCGCAGACTTTTACAAACTTACCTGTAGGTCTCAAACAAGCCTGAAGGACTCAATTGGTTGGATCAGATGTGTTTCATTAGGGTTAAAACTAAACTGTGCAGAAATGCGAGTTTGACACCTGTGCTGTACAGATACATAGGCATGGGACGATAGCCGTTTTTTCAAGGTATACTGCGGTTTGGAAAAGTGAAGGTTTTATAAACGAAAAAATGTTCAGTAATACTATTCCCAAGGTATATATAAGGCCAACTTACAAGGTATTTTAGGCCAACAGTATCTTCAGCTGAAAAATTATCCAAAGATGCTGTTTTAAATTGTAAAGAAATCTGTGTTTTTGAAACTAATGAAGACGGCAGAAGTCAGAAGTGAACGTTAACTGTTCCAAAATATTATAAATCTTTAAAAATAATAATAATAATAATAATTTTTTAAAGGAGAAAATTTTTTGTTTGTTTTTTTTAACCAGACATTTAAAAAGAACATATTTTAAAGCAGTAATCACAATACTGTGATATTTTTATACAAGGTTATCATACTGTCAGAATCTTGTAGCCCATGCCTACATATACAGTATTTACAATATTTCTGAAAAATATATTAACTCGCATATAGAGAGATACACAGTGATGACTTTCGCTCAAATCAAAAGCTCTAAAACTCGAATTTTATTAATATTTCTGGATTAATACATTTAAAAATTTGTCAAAAATAAAAAACATTTAGGGAAGCTAAAAAGCTAATTATTCCATAAACGTGATGTCTTGAGAACTGAATATTTTATTGATAAATTATATCTTGTAAATATAATACATTAAAATATGTACAATGTCAAAATGAAGGTGGTTTTTACGACGAATACAAGTAATACATGTCATATGATACATTTGATGGTCAAATAAATGACATAATAAACGATATACTATACACAACACTAAAGTAAACTGCATTATATATACACTACACTTCGATATAATTCTCCAAAACAGTCAAAACTGTTTATTGTTTATAAACTGACAGAAATATTGATCATAATCACTTTATTTTAAGCATTTGACATCATATTTCAAACACTTCAATAGTACAATACATGACAATTTCAGTTTGCTGTACTTTAAATATTGTTTAATTTAAACGAGAGGAGACAGCTGCAGTTTTCTGTTTAATTTGCCAATTTCTGCGATATGACTCAATTGCGAAAGTTGGCTAACGCCGCTAGCTAATTAGCTTAAGCTAGCATTAGACTCAACACTCACCCATGAGAATTCTCATCTGTTTCTTTCCAAACAGCCTGCTAAAGAGCGACGAGATGGTCAGACCCATGGCGAAGCACACTAATCACCTAAAACTACGAGGTTTCTCCTAATGTCTAAAGTTTTGTCTGTGTGATGCTCGTCTAGTGTCAGGAAACCCAATCACATCTGCGCTTGCGTAATGCCACGTCACGGCCGCCGTGGAAGAAATGACGCCACGCCACTTCCGATGTGGAGATTTTCACAACTCTTTAAAAATAATAATAATTATAATATATATATATATATATATATATATATATATATATATATATATATATATATATATATATATATATATATATATATATATATATATATATTTACAAACATAATACAAGAGAAAACATCTCACAACAATTATAAACGAAATAAATAAAATAAGATGAGAGAAATTATCTCAGTTATACGAAGTATAAACAGATGCCAGGGTTAAAAAAATAAATAAATAGGTAAGATAATAATAATAAACTTTTATTCAATCAACTGAAATTTATATAATGCTTCATATGCTTTTTTTTTAGCTTTTCTGTTTTTAACGTTACATAGTGTAGCATCATATTGTTTAATCTCCTTTATAAAATGAACACAATTTGACTAAGCTTTGGCCCATTTCTTGACATGAATAAGGTATTTTGCAATTTATATTATTAGTTGTATAAGAAAATAGGTTGTACTTTTTGAATAAATTCCATCTTGTATGCAAATACGACATCAAATAACCCAATTTGTATAAGTGTACCAAATGTCCTTAAAATAAAGTTAGAAACATCAATCCAAAAAATCCTGAGTATACACACTGGAAAAACAGATGAGTAGCAGATTCTTTAACAATACTACAAAAATCACAAGAGTTCTCTCTATCAACTTCAAACCAGGGGCGAACTGGCCATCTGGCAAATAACAAAAGGGCCAGACTTTTTTTTTTTTTTTTTAAGTGGCCGGTATGCTATTTTTATTTATTTTATTTTTATAGGCTTATGTATTGTTTTTACATGCAGGCAGCTTTAATTACTTTTTTTTTTTTTTTTAAATCAGATCTTTAAAAAAAAGCAATCCATACGTTTGGGTTTTTACCAGATCTTTATTTTCTCACAGGGGTGGACCTTGTGGCACAGTTCAAGCAAGAGTACGGCATTTGCCGCAGTAGGGAAGTGTACAAGATCAGAAAGTCCTGCTCAGGAAATGAGGACAGTATCGTTTTTACTGGAGTGTCCGATACAAAATTCTCACCCAATGCACCTCGATCGCTGATATTAAAAGGCGCCAGCACAAATACATACACGCATCTGTTTGACATGAAAAGAAACATGGAGAAAGCTGGAAAAAAAAAGGAAACTAATCATCCTCGTCCAATCCACCATGTCCGAAAATCAAGCAAGCTAATGTGATCTGTTCAAAAATGCTTTCAACTCAAACATTTACTTCCATATTGTTCAGTGGAGGTATTTCATATCAAAGAACATTGGGCTAATCAATGGATGACTCCATATTGCTATCAATACTTCATGTACCATTCTGTTGTCACTTCTCAAAGCTGTCCCTGCAACAAAAGTTAGCATGTAGCTCCTGGAATAAAATGAACAGCCATGAAAGGGAATGTTCATAGGGCGGCGAGTCCTGTGATTGGCTAGTCAAATTAGGCAGCACTGCAACCGAGATCTCAAAGTGAGCGTTAATGCACAACAGCTTCTTCCTGGCATTTACTCAATCCTATCATTTGTTTTTAAGCTACAAATACTCCAGACTTGCATGAGAGGGACGCCCCGAGCTGGAATTCCTCCCCTTTGTGCCATAATGCTCTCACAGTTATCAAGTAAACGTGCAATTTAAGCATTATCTTACAGTCAAGAAAACAATCAGATTTGTAAGGAGAAACAAAATTAAAAGAACATTAGTAGGAATACAGCATAGAAAAAAGACAGATAAGATAGATTAGACATGATGCTGAACACTTGATAGCTCCTCCACACACACACACACACACACACATTCACACAAGTTCTTCAAGACAGAGTCGATCAATGGACACACTCCGTCTTTCTAAAGTTCACACACATCTGGGACCCTAACAGGCACACACTAGCGTTTGGAGAGCTCATTTGATAACCAGTCCAGTCCTTCATAGAGTCCAGTGCCCTGTGTTGCGCAGGTCGCTTGAACGTACCACTGTGGAAAAAAGTAGACAACGGAACATTTAAATGCAGTCATTGTTTATGGTTGCATGCATGCTGGGAGTCAAGCAGGTTAGGTGTGTGTGTGTGTGTGTACACGTGTTTTTGTGACATATCAGGACACAAATCAGTATGACATGGGTATGACACAGGTATTACAAAAAGGAGGTGAAATATGAGGACATTGGTGAGCCCA